TGCATGCCAGGGTGCTAGGGGTAACCGTGCATTCTGAACTATACTTTCAGGCCCCATCCAATCCCTGTCCAAATCATGCCGCCTCAACCTCCAACATTTCCAGAATATGCCCATTTTTAACCAAAGATACCACAAAGCTAATTCACTCCCTGGTTATCTCTCGCCTCAACTATTGTAACTCCCTCCTCATTGGCCTACCTTTACATAGGCTATCCCCTCTTCAGTCTATCATGAATACTGCTGCCAGGCTCATCCACCTTACCAACCGTTCAGTGTCTGCTACCCCTCTCTGCCAATCCTTCCACTTGGCCAACGAATAAAATTCAAAATACTAATGACTTACAAAGCCATCCACAACTCTGCCCCAATATAAACCAAACCACTCTTTTCGATCCTCCCAAGACCTTCTGCTCTCTAGTTCCCATGTCACCTCCTCCAATGCTTTCCTCCAGGACTTCTCCGGAGCTTCTCTCCCATCTTATGGAACTCCCTATCTCCTAATCTATCCACCTTTTTGGATGATCCCTGAAAACCTTTCTGTTTAAAGAAGTCTATCCTGCTTCTAACTCGTAAACTGCCTTATTTCCTCCATCAGCTCATCCCCCCCACAGCTATTACCTTTTTTTATATCCCACAACCCTTCCTCCTAGATTGTAAGCTCTAACGAACAGGGCCCTCTGTTTCCTCTTTTACCAAATTGTATTGTAACTGTAATGTTTAACTTCATTTTGTAAAGCGCTGTGCTAACTGTTGGTGCTATATAAATCCTGTATAATAACCCAAATCTCTATATAGAAGAGAAATATTTGTGTAAAATTTTTTTATTCGATTTTTCTTTTTACAATTTTCCTTTTTTTTTTTTTTTTTTTTTTTTCTACCCCAACCATAGTGAAGCTGTACTACTTTCTCACTCTCTGGCTGCATACCTGCAGCCATTGAGAAATGCTGTGATTGGTCACAGATTATCACATGGTACAAGGATGCTGTGAATGGCCTTGTACCCTGTGATCGATCAGAGTTCACTGTAGTAAACAGTGATGCCAGGAATTTACATCTTGTTTACCACTGTGCATGTGATCGTGGATTGGCCAATCCTCGATCTCAGTGCTAGGGCCGCCCACAGTGGCCCGTTACACTGATCCATGTTTACCAGACACAGCGGCACAGGTCACTCCATTGCGTGCTCCCAGGGAGACTTTTAGAAACGTCCAGAACCTTTGGCAGTGGCCATTAGGGGCGATCAGAATATAGCAGTAGGTTTTAAACTGGGTGGTATTGAAGAAAAATTGGCTTTATATGCCGATGATGCCCTACTGTTTTTGGGCGATACGTCCCTTTCTAAGACTGATGTCCCTTATCCATACATTTATGTATTATTATTATACAGGATTTATATAGCGCCAACAGTTTGCTCAACTCTTTACAATATAAATTTGGATCCTTTTCCGGCTTTAGGATTAATTGGGATAAATCTGCCCTACTACCCTTAGACCCGATGCCAAATCCCTTGCCCCAAGCTGCATCCCAAATTAACGTGGTAGAAACGTCCACCCGGATAGGCGCTACTGCATTCCAACCATTTATGTACATGGGCCGGACAGGAAGAAAACTATGGTATACGTAAAGACGCATTTTGTTTAAATAAATTTTAAGCTTTCTGAAGCTGGATGAACATGGTGTTGAAACAGCCGAATTTTAATCCAACCAGCCAAATTTCGATCAACTGCTCAACCTGTGGCCCTCCAGCTGTTGTGAAACTACGAGTCCCATCATGCCTCCTTTTTGGCGTCATGCTTGTACTGTCAGCCTTGCAATGCCTCATTGGACTTGTAGTTCTGCAACAGCTGGAGGGCCAAAGGTTGAGCACCCAAATCTAACGATAGACTTGTGTACAGCCAGTCTGTTGGGTTTTTCCCGAATGATCAGTGCTGCCAGCTACAGCCGGCAACACTGATCCTTGTGTTCTGCCGGTGGGGAGCCTTCCCCGTGGGGAAAAATATACAATAGCGCTGTGGCAAGTATTCCCCCATCAGCACTGTGTGTTTGTACAAATAGTGCTGATTCCCCCAATGTATGGGCTGCATTAGAATGGAAGGTCTCATTTCATCACATCTTCCAAGAATTGGATTATTTCTCATTTCAGGACATTGGGTATAGCCATGCAAATCATTCCTTTATCATACCAGCCAGATGCACATCCAGAACTGCTGGTGTATAGTACAAATAGACTAATATCATAAAGCCGATTATTCCAAACTGCATGCAGATGTTTCAGGCTTTGTGACCATAACCTGTGTGGTTATATGGTCTTGTTAAATAAAAGGATATAATCCCTTTAAATTCTTTTGTCCTGGGTACCCTAGTTTCATGTTTATTATATTGAGGCTTTTTTTCACTGTATGTCTTCAGGCTGCTATTCTGTGGAGGGGAATGGGGAAATGAAACCTATTTGCCCAGTGTAATGTTTATATAGGAAGAGCTGACAAGATACACATGCATTCATGCTCAGTCTTGCTGCACAACGTGCACACACGCATGCTTGCATAACTTTACTCGCTCACTCATGCTTGCATTTGTGTTTGTGTGCAAAATGTTTCTCCTCACACATGTGTCCTTCTTTGTTCCAGCTTTGTATACCTGCATTAGCACCTGAATTCCTGTCTATTCAATAGGCATTAAGTCTTTCAGCACAAAGAGTTGAGCTGCTGCTTAATGTAGGAGGGGGGCTGAAGTTAAACTCTTCACAATCCTTCATTGGAAAAGACCGATTGCCTGGGTGGGGCTCGGCCTCCTTGGCGTCTGCCTTCCTAATGCTTATAGCTCCTTAATGGGGATCTTCGGAGGAGAAAAACCGCACAAATAAGGAGGGATTAGATTGATTTGTGAGGGGCATGTTTTCTTGATAGTCTTCTTGTTTTCACCTGTTTAGGCAAACTTTTTTTTTTTTTTTTTTTTTTTTCTTTTTTTTTCTTCTTTCTGTAAAATGGCTGCTGTAAAAATGGTACACTTACCAGACCCAGTGTGGCATTACAGAAATGTTTATTGGGGAAGGAAAGACTACAATATAACATGCATAGTAGCCTGGAAAGCCACCAAGGCTATTTGATGTCAAACAGTGTTGTGATTAGTATACCAAAAGCTCATTCACATTATGCATTGCATTACTACAACATCTTTTGTGTATTAAAGCCACACAGGGGGAGATATACTAAAATTGCAAAATCTGGTGCAGCTGTGCATAGAAACCAATCGGCTTCTGGGTTTCATTGTCAAAGCCTAATTGAACAAGCTGAAGTAAGAAGCTGGCTACCATGCACAGCTGCACCATATTCTGAGTCCTTCAGTTTTTTTTTATTAAATCTCCCCCCACAGCGTTAAGGCAGCCCAATCAGCCTGGACTTGCGCATATATATAGCCAAAAAGTATTTGGATCACTTCCATGGCCACAGATGTATAAAATCATGCACCTAGGCATGCAGTCTGCTTCGACAAACATTTGTGAAAGAATGGGTCGCTCTCAGGTGCTCAGTGAATTCAACCGTGGTACCGTGATAGGTTGCCACCTGTGCAGTAAGTCCATGTGTGAAATTTCCTTGCTACTAAATATTCCACGGTCAACTGTTAGTGGTATTATAACAAAGTGGAAGCAACTGGGACAGCAACAAAGTGGTAGGCCACGTAAAATGACAGGGCGAGGTCAGCACATGCTGAAGTGCGCAGAAGTCACAAACTGTCTGCAGAATCAATAGCTAAATACCTACAAATGTCGTGTGGCCTTTAGATTAGCACAAGAGAATGTAGAGAGCTTCATGGAATGGGTTTCCATGGCCGAGCAGCTGCATCCAAGCCTTACATCACCAAGTGCAATGCAAAGCGTTGGATGCAGTTGTGTGTAAAGCACACCACCATTGGAGTGTTCTCTGGAGTGACAAATTGTGCTTCTCTCTTTGCCAGTCCGATAGACCTGCCTGGGTTCAGCATTTGCCAGGAGAACGACACTTGCCTGACTGCATTGTGCCATGTGTAAAGTTTGGTGTTATGGTGTGGGGTGGTATTTCAGGGTTTGGGCTTGACCCCCTACTTCCAGTGAAGGGAACTCTTAAGGCGTCAGCATACGAAAATATTTTTGGACAATTTCATGTCCTAACTTTAGGGATGGCCCCTTCCTGTTCCAACATGACTGCGCACCAGTGCACAAAGCAAGGTCCATAAAGACCTGGAAAAGCAAGTTAGGGGTGGAGGAATTTGACTGGCCTGCACAGAGTTCTGACCTCAACCCGATAGAACAAATTTGGGATGAATTAGAGTGGATACTGCGAGCTTAGCCGACATCAGTGCCTGACCTCACAAATGTGCTTCTGGAAGAATGGTCAAACATTCCCATAGACACACTCCTCCTAAACCTTGTGGACAGCCTTCCCAGAAGAGCGGAAGCTGTTATAGCTGCAGAGGGTGAGCCAGTTCCATATTGAACCCTACGGACTAAGACTGGGATGCCAATAAAATTCATGTGCATGTAAAGGCAGGCGTCCCAATACTATGTGTGTCTGTCAGCTTGTTAAAGTGGTTTTGTATTCACCCAGTGATTTTTGTTTTTTCTCCCCAGTCCAACAAGGTTCCAGTTGTCCAACATCCACATCATATGCATCCTTTAACACCCCTCATCACCTACAGCCAGGACCGCTTCTCACCGGGCACACCACCTGGACACTTGTCACCCGAAATAGATCCAAAGACCGGTAAGTGTGTGGTGTTTAGGGGATTTGACATTGCCTTTGTTAAAATGCTTTAACTAAACTTTTGTACAGGAATTCCCCGTCCTCCACATCCGTCAGAGCTGTCTCCGTATTACCCTCTGTCTCCAGGAGCTGTAGGGCAGATTCCTCATCCTCTGGGATGGCTGGTTCCACAGTAAGTACTAAGATGGGTTTGACTGTAATATTTTACCTACTTTGGATGGTTTGTTTTATACTCCGTGTTTTTTCAGGCAAGGCCAGCCTATGTACTCCATTCCTCCAGGTGGATTCAGACATCCGTATCCTGCTTTGGCCATGAATGCCTCAATGTCCAGGTAAACCAAAAATCTGTCAACAAGCTCTTGTCACTCATTCCTTGTTTGCCCTTTTTGATTTCTACTTCTTTGTTGCTCAGTGTTAATTGTCTTTAATTCTTATCACTGTAGCCTGGTTTCCAGCCGATTCTCTCCACATATGGTGCCCCCACATCCCAGCTTGCACACCTCAGGGATCCCTCACCCTGCCATAGTCTCACCTGTCGTGAAGCAGGAGCCGTCCTCTGGAAGCCTCAGCCCAAATCTTAATTCGTACGTATTCTCTTTTACAAGTGAACCTCTGTAAATGTAAGGCTTAGTTCACACGGGGCGTACTAAAGTGTACTCCTGTGGGGGGCAAAGTTTACCCAAAACCTTTCAGGCAGTCCCAAAGATGTCAGTTGGGATGCAGTGGCTGCGTGGATGCAGCCACTGTCCTCAATTTGACATCTGTGTGGGTGCATGTCCCCGAACTTAATGTGTGTTCAGGGATACACCCACATGGATGTCAAATTTGAGCGCATTGGCTGTGTCTGTGCAGCTGCTGGGACCCAATACACATCAGTGGGACTGCCTGCATGGGATGCGTGGAACACCTGTGGGGTAAACGCGTGCCTCCACAAGCATATGCTCTAGTATGCCTCATGTGAGCGAAGCCTTGGTTGAGAAGTAATGCTTAAACACTAGTAGAATTAACGCAATATTTGCATGTGCTGCGTAGTAGAAGATTCTAGCCAGTCTTCACCAAGATACACCAATTTTCGAGGCAAAGGAACAATTCCTGCTGACTAGATGCTTTCTCTATATATGGCAAAGCTGGGATTGGTGTGGATGACTACTTTTGGATTGCAGTCTCAGCCAAATTCTACATTCCATGTAAAGCATGTAAACTTACAATACCATTTACAGGGATCCTTATTACACTCACAATCACTAGCTTGAATTTAATGCCAAAAGGAAATAAAGAAAAAAAAACTGACATCTCTTCCTTAGAGAATTATGAATTTACCCTGCCTTTCTATTTTGTGGGTCTGCATTATAAGAACCTGTAAGTTTGGCCCAAAGAAATTGGTTAGAAATAGTCTGACCATTCCATTATAATATCTGTTTGGTGTTTTTGGGTTTTTTTTTTTTTTTTTTTGTTTTTTTTTTTTCCCCAAATTTCAAAACGCAGCAGGGGGGGAATGGTGATGTGTCCAAAGCAAGGGAAATTGTTTTACATTTGTACCCAGAGCAAGTGTCTCCACATGACAATATCCCTCGATTTAGCAATAATTCAAAAATGCAGATCTTCCTAGCACCATTTGTACAAATGGAAACATGGAGAATTGTCCCAAAAGGGACACAAACAGTATTACAAATCTGACAGCGGTATTTGCCCTTCCATCAAAACAAATCCTATTTTTATTTTTTTTTCCTACTGAACATAATATAGAATAGATATGCAGAAACATACATTCCAGTTTTAAACTGGTTGATTTGCATAAGAATACAGAGTTGTATAGTGGAATACATGTACTACTGTCTTGTGCAGTGGTGAATTAGAAGTCCAAGAAATCAACAGTTTGAGAGGAGCTCAGTAGCATGCACTCTTATTAAAGTGGTATTAAACTCAAAAACAAAAATTAAATTGCACCTTACCAATTGTTGATGTGATGGCAGCTTTAGATTTCTTTTTTTTGTCTCTTCCCTTTTTATTTTCACCGATTTTAAGTTATTTTTCAACTTCCTGTAACTGCAGTACATTGTGGGCGGGCGGTCGGCAAGCAGACTGGCAGCAGCTACAGGCAGAGATGTACGGGTATGTGGCTGTATTAACACAGGGAGGCGTTCCTTACCAATGAATGTGGACACCGCAGAATGAAGATCCCAGTGAACGCTATGCGATCACATGATCACAATGTTGGCAAAGCTTTTATGAATACATCTGATTCATAACAGCTCTGCTTCTCTTCCTGGTGAGCTGTGATTGGCCCAATCACTGCACCCTGTACAATGTGATCAGCTCTAGCCAGTCACAGATCACCATTTTGAATGGTCATGAACTTAAGAAATTCATGATAGTTCAAAGCAAGCTTTGCATTGCAGGAGCAATAAGCTTTATTGCTCCTGCAAAGTGTAAACAAAAAACAAACCATTGTACTACTGTTAAAAGTATTTTTAAAATGAAAAATAAATTATCAATGTAAATAAAAAAAAAAAAAAAATGCTGTATTGAGAATTTTAAAATGTAAAAAAACCCACACACAACAACCACCCTTAATTTTAACTACCTGCCAACCGTCTGCCTGCATTGGGGTGGGCAGCGGCTCTGTGCAAAGCGATGTAACCTTACGTCTTTCTATTTGGGGGTGTTAACACGCCTGCGCCCCCCCACCCGTTGATCTAGGAAGAGATGAGAGAACACCAAACTGTGAGTGAAAGCACTATGTTTTACACGCACACATTAGATTAGCACATTTTAACCCTTTGATCGTCCCATCACCCAGCCAGTTCCATTAGTACAGTGTCCGTATATAGAATTTTTTTACTGATCCCTGTATTACTACCACTAGTAACATCAGATAGTGTCAGGGTCTGTAAGCTCCCCTCCCAGCCAGGGTCAGCTAGCGTTAAGATTGCTCACGCTATAGGTCGCTGATCAACGCCATTACTACTATAGTGTTTGTACAGATCAATATATTGATCACAAACACCAAAAGAACTAAACTAGTGCCTCCCTTGTATAGTGTCCCCAAAAACACCTGTTTGCTGCCAGCACTAGTGTTTAGCCCTTCCGCTGTTTTTTCACTTAAGATTTGTACCAATTGATTGTGGGCCAAAGCAATTTATAAGTACAATACATCGCCGCCCACCCAAATTCAGCTCTTGCCAGACAATTCGCATTGGAAACCTACCACGGTTTCTGAATTTAAAACTTTTTTTTTTTTTTTTTTTTTTACTGCCCTGGCATTTTAGCACCTCAAATGATAGGCAGTCAAAGTAAAAGCTGCGTACATTCCAGTATATATCATAGTTTGTAGATGCTATAAATTTCACACAAACCAATTTAATATCCACGTATTGGGTTTTTTATTTTATTTATTTATTTACCAAAGATATGTAGCAGAATACATCTTTGTTCTAATTTTTTTTTTTTTTTTTTTTTTTTTTTTTTTTTAAACCTTTATCCTGAGAGGTACAGCTATTGCTATAGCTGCTCAAAAAGTGTTAGCTGGCATTTCACTTTAATTTGTTAGATGCACTAGTAGATTTAGATTGACTTTACATAAGTGACCAACACTACCCTCTTCCCACACTGACAATTCTGCTGTCCAAGGGTGTCTCCAGTGTGCTTCCATTCAGAGTGGAGACATCCTAAGACAAGAAGTGTTGCTGGCTGGATCACTGGGTAAAAATAAAGAGGGAGGGGAACTAATGTAGCCACTACATTTAAGGACTAAGCTATTACATTATTTTAGGGTTCAATCCAGTTTTAAGGCCTACCCTACCCAAAACTTGCATTTCCGTTATGGGTTGGTACTGGTATGTTCCATATATCTTTAAGCTCTCAGTGGTGAAATGTCCCTGCAGAAACCTTGCTTTTGTTGCTAGTTCTTTCCAACATTTCACCACACAATGTCACTGTGGTACACTTTGGTTCGATAATTTTTATGTATTCTATATTGTGAAAAGTTACTTGTGGGACAGTGATTATTTATGTGGTTTTTTTTTTTTTGGTTTTTTTTTTTGTATTGGCCGAGGTCCTTTAGGTAGAGCTGAAATGTACAGTGAGGAGATTTCACCCCAACAACCATTTAAACTCCCATTTCTTTTTTTCTGCAGGAAAGCCACCAGTTTCAGTTAAGAAAGAAGAGGAGAAGAAGCCACATATTAAAAAGCCTTTGAATGCCTTCATGCTATACATGAAAGAGATGCGAGCGAAGGTGGTTGCGGAATGCACACTCAAAGAGAGCGCTGCCATAAACCAGATCCTTGGCCGCCGAGTGAGTGTTTGAAATTTTGGCTGATCTTTTTTGTTCTGGAGAATAGAAGGTGCTAAATGCAGGTCTGACTGTCCTTTCTCTACAGTGGCACTCATTATCCGAGAAGAACAGGCCAAGTATTATGAACTGGCAAGAAAAGAGAGGCAGCTTCACTCTCAGCTTTATCCGACATGGTCTGCAAGAGACAACTATGTAAGTGTGTCCAAAACAAAGATATTGCAAGTACAAACCAAGTGTCAGACTTTTGTGGTAATTATCTTTTAACTGCACTTACAGTTCAAACTTCAAGTAACTTTTCTTTTGTACAGGGAATATTACTGCACTCTGTGTGTAATTGATGCAGTCATATGTGTGCATTTTCTGTATTGCTGCATGAATGGCTTCTAAAATTGATCTAACCATCACAGAAATAATGCTTTTATTTAAAAATATATAATAAACAACCAATATAGGTGACAACACCACTTCTCATGACTTTAGCATGAAATATCCCCAATAGGTCATGTTCTTTTGTATCGCAGGTGGGTCAAATTGACCACACTAGGCATAGAAGCACACTCTTGTGCCAACACCCCCCCCAACCATTCACTGGGAAGGTCAGTGTACCGCTGTTTCTGCAAATGTTATATACAGTATACATACATATACATACATACATACATACATATACATTTTTGGCTTTCATTTATATTTTAAACCGAGTGGTTGGTTTGTTTTTACAAGGTAAGGGTTCACATATACTTTAAGCTTCAGTCTTTTCAGCTCTAAGATTGTAGAGGGCATAAAGCTCAACTCCAGGCAGATATAAAAGACATTATTAATTATTGTGGCTCTGTATTACTGCATCATTGAGTGTTTTAAACGCAAGCAGTGCAGGTTTTTCTTGCAGTAGAAGCAGCACAATGAGCGAATCAGTTGTGGTTCTATAAAAGGACCTAGTTATAGAAGGAGAGCAGAAAGACACCAGCCTGTTTCTCCCAAAATATCCAACCACAGCCTAGGGGAGGTACAAGATCTGTAAGTGTTCACACCAATGCGCTTTTTAGTGCTTTTTGCAGCAATGCACTACAGTTCATTTAACATGGTTTCTTATGACACACACATCGAAGCATTTTTGAGCCACTGCGTTTTTGGAAAGGGTCAGGAAATTTTTTTTTAGTTTTTTTTTTAAATGCAGAAGTTGCGTTTTTTGGTTCAATAGACTTAAATAGAGACGCTGTAAAAAAAAAAAAAAAAAAAAAAGGCAAGCTGTGCGTTTGACAAATTTTGCATTCATTGTTTTTTTTTTTTTTGTTTGGGTTTTTTTTAAAATGTCCCGCAACAAGTTGACCCCCCCCCCCCCCCAAAAAAAAAATCAAAATTCCTCAGTCAACGTGCGTGCAAAAATGCAAACCTCACTGCAAAAAGGACAAAATGCAAACCACATTGGTGTGAACTAGGTCTTAGTGCAGCAAAGAAAATTCAGGTCTCTTTTCCTGCTAGATGGGGCTTTCCTATGAATGTCAGGACTGATTGACAGAAATACAAATGGCAGGGGAAAAAACCCATATATGTAACTCATCATGTGTATTTGACTAATTGCCTGAAGTGTAACCCTTTAATCTTGGATTAAAGAGGAGTTGTGTACATCCTGGGTTTAGAATCCAATGGGCTTCACATGGAAGGCCTGTACCATATGGATGTTGCCCTTTGAAACCGTTACCTTATGCACTTTAAAGTTGGGGAGATTTCACTTTAAGCATGAATCCAGCAAAATGGTTGGTTATATTTGTCTTCCTTTTGATGGCAATATAAATTGTGTGCTGCTTGAGCAGTGTGCAGCTCTATTGCAATCACACGTGTATTGTTTTGGTAACAAAAGAAACAACCGATGTTCATTTATCTGGGCTTTCCATCTTTCAGGGAAAAAGAAAGAAGCGGAAGAGAGAGAAGCAACAGCATTCGCCAGAGTCAGAAGGTAGATGCGGTTATCATCTTAAAACAAAGTGTGTGCTATAGAGACTGTCTGTTTCTGTCCTCATTCACTAATGTAGTCCTTGGAGGGAAAAGCCATGCCTTTTTTGTGGTGGTGATTGATCTAGCAATAATAAAAAGGCATATAAACCTCTTCCCCGACCAAATCGGCAACAATCGTCCTAGAAGATTACATGCTTGCTGTACTTTGTTTTATGCATGCAATTCCCTGTAAAGGCACCCTTGTGTATGACCTCCTCCAAAAGACCATCTTGGATGTGACAGCAGCAGACTTGGACCTGTCACCCAAGTGTTGCTCTGTGCAGTTGCCTTCAAGATGCTACATCATTTGATTGTGGGCAGTACATTACAGCCTTTTGGGTGTTCTATGATTGTATATAATAAAATTGTCCCATAAAGGAGTTGCAATCAAGATTTGGAAATGTAGAATGCATAATCCCTTCTTGATACCACATCAGATCCAAGACGGGCTATTACTAATCCTAATTAATTCTCATGGTACTCATTTCCCCTTGTTAAATAATTATAGTTTTAACTATAGACTAACTGGTATTTCCCAATTAGTATTTGGCCAGCCGTAGACATTAGAAGGCAATTGAATGTGTAGGCACAGTCTTATTTTGCTTTCAGGCTTGTCTGCTGGCCAGCTGTCAAATAACAATTGCTACAAGATTGTTTACCATTTCACATGAGATCTATAATCTGGCAGTGTGCACCACTTCCATAGAAATAAAAATATCCAAAAACCTGAGGTGATCATACGATCTGGCTAACTGTAAGCTACCTGCAAACATTCATTGGTGAATAAAAAGATCTTTCCACAAACCTGATTAGGGGAAAACTGCAATTTGAATACTGGCCATCTTTCTTCCAAAGACTTGATGTCTGGTGCCATTGGGGAAAGCCTGCAGATGGGAACAAAATCTACAAACGTATTTATTCTGTGAACAAAGCATTTACTTTTTTTCTTTTTTTCTATTAGTGTCTAAAGCCAAGAAGATATGTGTGCCTCACCTCACTGCGGAGAAGTCGTGTGACAGCCCAGCCTCCTCCCATGGTAGCATGCTGGACTCTCCAGCAACACCTTCTGCTGCTCTTGCTTCTCCAGCAGCCCCCAGCGGCTACCCACTCTGAGCAGGCTCAGCCACTCTCACTCACCACCAAGCCTGAAGCCAGAGTACAGTTGTCACTCAGCCACTCTGCTGCCTTTTTGGCCTCCAAATCTCCGTCCTCCAGTCTGTCAGGACACCTGCCATCTCCTGTCGGATCGTCACTGCTCTCCCGTCCCATCCCGCTTTCGTCCTCCTTACTGTCTCCACCTGGTATCTTCCCATCGGCCTTGCAAGCTTTACCACTGCTGCAGGCACAACCCCTGTCTTTGGTGACCAAATCCAGTGACTGACTCGAAAGGACTCTATGGCCCAGGTAGCTAGGACCCACACAGATAAAAGGAGTAGTTCCTGTCGACCTGCACATACCCTGCTCTGCACTCCTAATATACAGCTTTGCAGATATGGATGTTCTGCACGAACTCGTGTATATAAAATGCTCTGCACCTGGGGCCCTGTCATTTTGGCCTTTAATGCATACAAATATGAACAATGCTTTGTGAATGTGGACATCACTGTGCGCTGATGCATACAGTTCACTGCAATGGCCCTACAGGACATGAATTTTTTCTCATAAGTGACTCATGATTGGACAATCCAGTGACGGGGATTTCTAGTGTTGATGCTCACAATTATCTGGTATGGTGCAGGCAGACCAGGCTACAGTCCAGGCTGTACTTCTCCAACAAACAATACACCACATACTTGGCCGGAAACACCAGACCCACACGGATTATTGGTCAATATTTGACCTGGCGGCTTTACCGTTGGTTCTGCTGATCTTGTTGTTAAATCCTTTTCTGTATTTTTTAAATAAAATTTAAATGGGATAAATAGGAAAAAAATGTAAATTGTACATAGAAATGTGCCCAGGTAGGGAAAACATGGGCTATGCATGTTTGCTTTTATTAAAGGGGTGGGAGGGGGTCTTTTTTTTTATGTTCTAAGAGTTGGGTCTAATTTTTAAAGTGTGCTCATTGCCATGCTGTGGAGACAGCCATTTTGTGGGTTTGACTAATATCTAAGAGAATGCAGCTTCACAAGGAAATCGCAGCCATTGATCCTGACCATTCAATTTTGTGGTCTTCAATAACGGTTCAGATGTGGCCTATTCATTTTATAAGAAACTAGTGGCATTGCTATTCTGAGATCTAAGAGCACTGTCTCTTTTAATAAAGAACTGATATCCATCTTTAGTCAGACATTCTGTGAGTGTAAAAGGAACTGGTCATGAAGGCATTTTTATTAGCAGCAGTAAAGTTTCCTATCCACTGCTGGGCTGCTTGACTCCTGAAGCAGTGCTATGTCCAGGGCAGGCTTTTCACTCTTTTGTGTGATGACTGTAGAGCTGTGCCCTGCCTTAAACTTTCTTCCAGGAGTCAACAATGTCTGCCTCCAGCACTGGATGGGGACTTCAGCTGTGACAGCCAACTGCCTTCTTCACAGGTTCCTTAAAACAATTTCATAGATCGCAACCTAAAACTTTTCAAGGAAGTAGTTACATCATAACAGTGAGTCAGCAAAGTGTTAAACGTTTTATTTTAAAAAAATGAGGCTTAAATTTTCTCTGATGTCACTATATCCTTGTGAATTGATAGGCTGAGTATTTATTCTCACAGAATGGCAGTCTCGAGGGTGATGGGTGCACGTTGGGTCCTGGACTGGAGGCTGCAGTCTCTCTGGCATTCCCTGGGTTATTTTCACATATATATGTATTTTTTCTTTTATTTCTCCCACTTATTCTGAGGTTTTGTGTGTTTATTTTCCACCCTTTTTTTTCATTCCATTCTTTCTCCGGTTTTATTATGTATTTTTTTTTTTTTTTTTTTTTTTTGATTTATGGAAAAGAAAACTCTTGACAAAAATGTGACTTTTTGTAACAAAATAGAAAATATATTGTGTTTTAAAATAATGTGGTTTTAGTTTTCTTTCCTGTAAAGGGCAGACAAATCTTTTTAGCCTTACAGCTACACCACACACAATTTAAAAGGGAGCTGCAATTGTTTACATGATTAATGGGGCAGACTCCAGCCTATCCAGATTCTCACTTAGTAGCTGTGGTGTAAGAACTCTTGCCATATGCACAGCATGCTTGCATGTAGTAGAGTTTCCCACTAGAATCCTTTTTTCCTCCATCGCTGCCATCTTCTCCAGCACTTCTTCTGAACCAGTGCCTTTTTTGGCCACTTGGTCATCACTGATGTAATTCCTACATATGCGTGGAGCTGCATCCTCTCAACATAACTTAAACGCTGAGAGCATGCACTGCAAAGGTGGTATATGCAAAAGATATTGCTAGGAGAAATGTGAAATTTGTGGAGCTTGCATTAAGAGTTGCAGTGGGAGCCTCCGTGTTTTTTCCCAGGAAGATTTACTTTAACCCATCCTTGACCGAAAGTCTTAGATGCCCAGACCAATTTAGCAGCAGCATCATCATGCTTGGGTTATCTTGATAACAGCTGTGATTGAGAGCCAGCAGCCACGCTAGGAAGCTGATTTTAAAGCTGTTCTCAGCCTCTTGTGTAAAAAAACAAAAACTGTAGTTGCTGACTTTTTTTCCAAGAAAAAAAACCAAAACAAAACAGCCACTCACCTGTCCTGATGCAGTGATGTGCTCACCCCAGCTGTTCTTTCCAGTGGTGCATCTTTACAAAATTAAATGTGTATTCAATACTCAAAGCGAACACAGCTACAACTGTGTGCAGAATAAAGAATATCTAGCATTTTTTGTTACAGTACTGTTCTGTATTGTACTTTTTGTCCCATGTTGCTAAAAGCTTTCTAACCACAGTTATGAGGTCAGATTGCTGGTACCTTGCAGGTCTCCTGAAGATCTCTGTATATCTGCTTGCCCTTACATCCCGATGTACAGGCAAGCAGATATACAGACAGGAAAAATCAATGAACTACTATTGCGTTTGAGAACTACGAGCCAACCGCTGCTGAGGCTGTCAGGACTAGTAGTTTATTCATTCTCAGAACTCTGAATGACACGGCTGTGTAGGCCGAGCCCCGCACTCTACTCAAAAAGTGACAGCTTGTATGGGGAACTTCTTCCTGTACTGCTGTCACGGGGGGGGGGGGGGGATCAGGCGGTGGCTGCAGAACTGGGAACATGTAAAAACGGGTGTACCATGTTTCCAAAGGTGAACTTTTTTTTTTTTTTTTGTCAAAAAAAAAACAAAACTGGAAGCCAATTGGTTTCTATGCAAAGCTGCACCAGATTTTGCACTCTCCATAATTAGTGAATCAACCCTGTTGTGTTTAGACAATTGACAGATCACCTACTGTCTTCTGGTGACCTTTTTGATCCTTGTCTCCTAAAGCTAATAGGTCAGATGCAAATTAAAAGTAAGAGCAAACTTAACCCTTTCATAGTTACACCTGCACAATTGTCTCATCCATAGCAACATGCCCACACCGTAGTGCTGTAGTTGCTGGTGGATGAAAGTGACTTTTACACTAAGTGTTTGATAGTACTTTTTGAACCACACCTGTATTTTAGCAATGTCTACATGCAGTCATGGCTAAAAAATATTGGTACCCCAAAAAACACCTGCATTTGTCAGATAATGTACCACTTCGCCCAGAAAATTGTTGCAATTACAAATGTTTAGGCATGCTCATATTTATTTCTTGTTTTTGTATTGGTATGACACAAAGTGGAGAGCCAGATCTGACACATTCCACCCAAAAATCAACTGGACAAAACTATTGGAACCCTCAATTTAATATTTGGTAGCACACCTCTTGGAAAAAAATAACTTAAATCAATGGCTTCCCATAACCATCTATGAGTTTTACACCTCTCTACTGGAATTTTGGAGCAGTCTTTCACCATCTGCTCCAGGTCTCTCAGATTGGAAGGGTT